TATGCATTCACATACAAATACTTAAACAAATAATAAAATGACAAAAACATACAAACAAATCTATTATACACAAAAGCCAATTGCTCAAAGCAAACCTTCTTGAATTGAAGGGGAGTAATAGCATATATTCACAAAACATAAAACATAACAAACAATAGAAACATAGTAAACAATTAAATGATGTGGAAATATTGACTACATTACTATTTAATCTTACACATCTCACAAAACACAATTATAAAGTTATTGTAACAAATTCAAAGCAAATCTGTTGAATCTGATGAGTGAATCTGTTCAATCCAACAAATCTGACAATAAAATACTTATGTAAGAGACACTTTCTCTGGAATCTTTAATGGTCACACTATACATAGTACTATTGAACACATTACAAACAAATATATTACAGAGCATATACCTAAACACAGAGAAGTATACTACATACAAAGATGTTGGGCAGAAAAGCATCTCCTGTACATAACAAACTATACAGAACTATCAAACAGAACTACACTTTCTACAACAGAACATATATTACATTGAAAATAATGATCATACATTATGTAGAAACTACAATACTTATTCTCTAATATGTAGGACATAATAGTAAACAAATAACTAAGTAAATGAAATAATATTCAGACATATAACTAGGAAACAATTCAGGCAAGCCAAAGAATAGTACATATTCCTAAAGCAATCTACACTAGATATACAAAGCACTTGCTAAAATTAAAAGAAGTAACAGATGTAACAGTGATCAAAACATTAATCCTTTTGAATAAAACAAGATAATGTCAATCATAATGAACAAAAATGAGTGATACACACTAATTAAACAAAATAAATTCATATTTCATAACAAATGCACACATATATTCAGTAAATAAAGCAAATATAATAATTAAAACAATACTAAACAGAATTTGACACAAAATAAACAATAAACAAACAAATATTACAATATATAATGAAAAATAGAACTGTGAAATACACTATTTCATCTATCTACAAAATAAAAATAATGAACACATATTATGATTGTACAAAGTAATATATTGATCAAATAACATTACACAATGATAATAAAAACATTATTGTAAGCCTACCTTATAGTTTACAACAGTTTCTGTACAGTTCTGTACCTCTCCTAGTACAGAACCACATTTCTCAAACTCAGACCTTCTCTCAAACCTAGGCCTTCTCTGTGTAGACTCTAGAGTTATACACATTTCCCCTTTTGTGTTTACACTATGTTTCCCTATTGTCTGAGTCATATACCCTTCATTCTTAAGTGTATACACTCTCCTTTTTGTCTTTTGTATTGTTTTCCTCTTTAGGTGTAAGCTACCTTTGTTTCATTTCTAGTATATATAGTTTTTATCTTTCACCTTTGTAATACTAGTTCTTATTCCTGACTGTAATAAAGGTGAGTTCTTGTATGTACATAGACTAGTTCTTATTCCTGACTGTAACAAAGATACCTTTGTCCTATCAGTATTCTATATGTGTTAGTAAACTCAGAACTCAACAGAACTTGTTTGTAACAGTGTTTAGCACTTCCCTAGTACTGTTTTACTTTTTTTTTAACATTGACAAAGTAGTCTTTGTTGTACTACATGTTAGTAAGGTTTCTCCTAACCTTTCTAAATGTCTTCTACTGTTAGTAAGGTTCCTCCAGTCTTCCTGAACACTCCCTACTATTAGTAAGGCTCTCTAGCCTTCCTAAACACACTACTATAGTCCTGAAGCAAGTTTAGCTCTCTTTCTAGCTACATATAACTAGGTCTTATTTCCTCTAGTACTAGGTATTCTTAGAAGCTACTACAGTTACCCCTCTATTAACTAGAGAAACTGTATTTACTTCCTCTACACTACTATTATTTACACCAACCCTAAGTTTGGATTCAGTAAGTAGCTTAGATCTCTCATAACTAGAAAGTAATACTAGTAAACTACCTACCCTAAACTATTAGAAGGCCACCATATTCTGTACTATATTTACTAAAGCTTAGTTAGTCTAAGAAAGTGTAACAAAGCCTCTAATACTGACCCTAGGCAACCTAACACTATACACTCTCTAGTTATAAATCTCTACATTTTATAAGTATGTGTTTACTAAATCCATTCTTATAACCTATATAGTTGTAGTTGTAATAGAATATTTACAGGACAGTAGACTATACTAGTAGTACAAGTATGACTAGTCTAAACTTGAGAGGCTTATACTAGATACATTCTATTAGGAGCTCTAGTGTAAAATACTCTCTATAGACTAAGTAGAGCAAACCTGGAACAAGCTACTAGTAACACAGTAAGATAGTTACAACTTTTAAGAATAGTAGTTATAAGTTACTAGAATTAACTTTAGTCTTTTAGAAGATTAGTACCTTAATCCTGATAGGCTTTACAAACTTCTTAAAGCTAACCTACACTTGGACCTTTAGTTTAAGCTTTGTCTAGTATTTGTAATTCTAGTTCTAACACATTCTAAGTAACTTATAACATATATAGAAAGGCTGTATATAGTAACCTTAGTAAATAGCTAGATTCCTAATCCTACAGATCACCTTCTAACCCTAGAACCAGTCCTGGGAAAAGAAGTAACAGATTGTACTAGACTCTACAAATAGTTAAAACATGTGTGTAAGCTAGTAGAACAGTTAGATATAGACTGTGTAAAAGTTTGTAACAATGTAAAAGTAATACTTACAGTAGAACAGACTCAGAAGAAGGATTAGGAGAAGTAGTACATAGGAAAGGTTATCCTAGTAACAGTTAGCCTAAAGGCTACTTTAGAAAGTAATATAAAGTGTGTTAGCTTGTCTTATACAGAGTGTTAGCTTCTAATAAAGAACTAGGAATGTTTCTAGTACTACAAACTATTTGTAAATTATAGGAGCAACAATTGTCTAATAGGCTTACCCAAACCTAAAGATATAATCCTTATTACAGAAGTGTATATTAAGTCTCTATGTCTGAAGTAGAAGTCTGTTACTCTTACACAAACAGAGTAGTCTATAGTACTAGAACCTACAAGTAGAGACAAATCTGAGTAAGGTTGGGAAAACATAAACTCAACCAACTGTAATACAACCTTACTAACTTAATATGGACACACACAATAATCTTGAAATTCACACCTCAACATTCCCTAAACTCATATTTGGACAACATAGAAAGTTTTAGATAGATTGTAGCTACAAATGTGTGTTTTTATTTTTTTTAAATATTAAGTTTTGCCCAAGTTATTTGAGCAACAAAGTACCCTACTTTTTTTGTTCAGAATGCTTTAAAAAGCATTTTGGTAATGTTTTGAAAATTTATGATTTTGATTTTTGCCACTTCAGTTAAGATATTATTATATAATAATTCCCATATGGGGTAAATTACATAAGTTTAGTAATACATATTTCCTCAGCAATTTCAGCTATGTTACCTAGTACTCTACACATAGTGTATATGCTTACACACATAAAATTTCCCACATATACATATATGTGTATATAATTACAGATGTAAACTGGGTCAGCAGGACTCATATACAATACACTACTTCTGTATACAGTGTATACAGCATATATGCTGTGCCAAATATAACAAGATACTTTATATTAAAATAGCTCATAAAAGTACACTATCATCTTTCAAAACAAATGCTTAATATTACTGAGCTAAGAAATTGTATTATAGTACTGTTTACACACAGAAATAAGACAGTTGAGTGTTGTGAGTTAATATCATGTGACAGCTCTAAACCTTCATATAATGTACTATAGTAACCATACTAACTGTAGTACTCATACTAGTACTTTTTAAGTTAAACAAGGTTGTTATATAGTATTAAAATGATTTAGTATATAAATAAGTAAAGTAAATAAGGTTTAGAAACTCAAACTTAGTATTTAATTAGAGAATATGCTTAGTAATACTGTATACTTGTATATGGCATATACAGAAATTTTTTACTTATAGTATACACATACACACATAAATATACACCTGTATTTTCAGCTAAAATTTTCTCTTACAATACAGTGTATAAGTGTATACACTGTAGGTGTATCTGTAAATTATGCTACAGTACAGAGTATAGTTGCTGTTGTCTGGTCCAGGACTGTTGTGGACTGGGTCCAACAGGGGTCCAGTCTGTAGTCTAGCATTTGACAAAAATTTCTGGACCACTTTGAACTGCCTAGACCCTAGACCAGACTGTAGACTGTTTATATTGTAGATACTACTTCTTTAAGGCATACAAATAGACTGTACAGAGCCTAATAGATGTGAACTACTCTTACATATATTGTATAGTGTATTGTATACCCTTAAGCATACAAATAGACTATACTGTGTCTTACAGATGTAAACAGTAGTTTACATTGACTGTAGGAACTGATTTCTATTACACTAGTACTTCTTGTGTTTTACACTTAGTATAATACAAATAATAAAAGTAATTGTATTCTGATACATATAAGCTTACATATATTCAGAAACATATTATTATAGTACTTAATAGTATATCTATCTCATATAATATGTTAATAAGACAGAATTATTTTAATATATATTATATAATTGGTCCAGAGGTCTGGACCAGGTTCAGACCTGGACTGGACCACTGGTCCAGTCCACAAGAGGTCCAGCTGGGTCCAGTCCAAGGTCCAGGATTTTATAAGAAATCAGTCCTGGTCTGGTTCACAGTCCAGCAAAAACCTGTCTGGACCAGACCTGGACCAGACTGTAGCAACTATAGTGCAGAGCACTAATGTTACCCCCTCTCCTGTCAACTAAACATGGGACGAAGAAAGAGAAGAGATAAAGCTAGGACTCAAAATATATGGAAGGATGCTTTTGTAAGAGTTTTAAGACTTAAAATTAAGTGAATAATGCTTATAAACTAAAAATAGACTGGACAAACTACTCATTCCTTACAAACTGAGGACGAAGAAACATTCAACACTCCTGACTTTGGGGAGGGAGTAGAGAGCATCATTCCCATGGAATCTGTTGATTTAACAGATAGTGATGAAGAAGCAAACATTGAAAGTGAAATGATACTTAGTAAAGAGGGTGTGGCAGCTCTTTTTGACACACTTTCTATTGGACTTTCGACTTGGCTCTTGCATTTGAAGAATCGCCGGCGACCAGCTAAATACAAGAAGATTAGTCTAACGGAACAGAAACCAGCACGTACCCAAAGGTATCATAGAGCAAAGGTCAAGCATGAAACAGCCAGACTTCGTGCTCAAGGATATCAAGACATCCAGCTATACTTTCAAGCTCCCCTTAGCCCTCATCATGCAGTCGACATGCCACTTGAAGTGGATGTCGATTGGGAGCAATCTGCCAACACAGACAAATCACTACCAATATACATCGATTCTCCAGCAGTGGACATGCACAATGAAGAGCCTGGGTCAGCTAACGAGCAGTCACCACCATTATCTCCTGTGTCGTTCACGGAAGATCAGGTTGCTGCACTGCACACCCAAATCCATGCCTTCAGATCCATCTAGCAAGGCTCTCCTATCCCTGAGCATATTCAAGATTCATTGTTTTTGCAAGTACATACCTCAAACTTTCAAGCTATGGAGCCTGCCATCAGCATAACCAGGTCCATGTCACTGAAGGACAAGTTCGAGAATCTTAGTGCTCAAGACATCGTGCAGAAGACGAATGAGATTGCCAGAGATGGAACGACAGCCACACCCGTTTCTGTCCCTATAATGCATGCAGAAAATGTGACAAACATCGGTGCTGGTTGCAATCCGATGGATGTTCGTCGAGGTGCTCAGGCAGCTGTTGCCCGCGTGGACGACCTCTTGACGAAGAACACAAAGGGTGTGAAGGTGATGGAGGGTCTTGGCTGTACGGACGAGGACTTGACGAAGAACACGAAGGACATTACGACGACGGAGGAAATTGCACAAGTTGCATCTATTTCTGCGAATGGTGATACACATGTCGGCAATCTCATCGCGACCGCCATGGAGAAGGTTGGCAAGCAGGGAGTCATCACAGTCAAGGAAGGGCGCACGATTGAGGATGAGATTGAAATTACGGAGGGAATGCGTTTTGACCGGGGTTACATTTCACCGTATTTCATCACGGACGTCAAGAACCAGAAGGTCGAATTCGAGAAACCGCTGATCTTGCTGTCCGAGAAGAAGATCTCGGTGTTGCAGGACATCCTACCTTCGCTTGAAGCAGCTGCGCAGTCTCGTCGGCCGCTCCTCATTATTGCTGAAGACGTCGACGGTGAGGCACTTGCGGCATGCATACTGAACAAGCTCCGTGGTCAACTCCAGGTGGCCGCAGTCAAGGCTCCTGGGTTTGGTGACAATCGAAAGAGCATCCTTGGTGACCTTGCAATCCTAACCGGTGGTACCGTATTTACCGACGAGCTTGAC